AACCTGTGGAGCATAACCACTGACAACATTTAGCATCAGACCTTCAACTTCTACCTTCAGGCACATCACCCTATCTGACACGCTCTTCACCTCTACCACATTATTTACCAACTCCTCCTTCAGGACCACCCCTACTCCATTTCTCTTTCTGTCCACACCATGGTAAAACAGTTTGAACCCTGCTCCAATGCTGCGAGCCTTGCTGCCCTTCCACTTCAAGATGGCGCCCGAGCTGGTGGCTTGCCGTTCACCTCTCTCCACTCTGTTTGTTTTTTTGCTATTTTTATCATTCTTCCTCAATAACATCAACTCACTGCTGGTGTATGATCGTGAGCAACTTCTAAATCTACAATTTTCCACAAAACATCTCGCCTCGTACGATCATTTCTACCGAGGGTCTGGGCCCCCACCTCCACTGCTCGGGAGCGTCCCTGCTTACCTTCGCCGTGATGTTTTCCTGCCTGCACGGAAACATCGCTCCCGCCGCCGCGGGAGACGTGCTGGCCGCCTCGTGAGGCTCAAAGCGAGCCTCGCTCGCTCCTCAGCAACAGCTGACCACCGGACTGAGGATCCTCCACCTGGATGTCTCGCGGAGTCCTGCCCGCTGAAGAACGTGGGGTCGGAGGTGCGCAGCGGGCGCGCGCTCAGCTGCGAAGTTTCCGACAGTCTCCAGCTGATCGAGGTCTGCCTGGGTTCTTCATCTGCACCATCTCCTGCCACCCGATCGGTCTGTCCCAACGACCCTGCTGTGTCCGGCGGCTCTCGGACTCCGGCTGTTTGTCCCGGACCGCGCAGCGGGCGCGCGCCCAGCTGCGGTGGGTCCGAAAGTCTCCAGCTGATCGGGGCCTGCCCTGGTCCATCGGCTGCACCATCTACTGCTGTCCCGTCGGAGTGTACCAACGACCCTGCTGTGTCCGGCGGCTCTCGGATTCAGGCTCTTCATTCTGGACTTCGCGGCGGACGCGCGCGAAGCTGCGCTTCCTCTGGCCGGAGGAGGCGAAGGCCCGACGTAAACAACCTGAGGCCGCTGATCAGCGTCCTCCCCTCAACTTTTCCCCCAGCTGCTGGCCTAACAAGGTTTGCTCTCCTCAATGTGAGATCTTTATCAACCAAAACTTTTATAATAAATGACTTCTTCTGCTCCAATAGCCTGGACTTCTTGTTTCTGACGGAGACCTGGCTTCCTCCTGGTGAGTCAAGCGTTTTTACTGAACTTGTGCCTGCAGACTGTACTTTTCTTAACTGCCCGAGGCCATCTGGAAGAGGTGGAGGAGTTTTAGCTCTTTTTAAGAAAATTTGGAAATGCAGACTGCTTCTGACAGCAGCTTTTGAGACCTTTGAGCTGCTGCATTTTGAACTGGGCCGCTCCAAACCCATCCTGGTTGCTGCTCTTTACAGACCCCCCAAATCATCAACAGGCTTCATCAATGAACTGTCTGACTTTCTCACTGGAATACTCTTAAAATACGACCGTGTGCTGATTCTAGGGGACTTCAATATACACGTCTGTTGCCCTGAGAAGCCTTTGGTGCAGGACTTTCTAAATCTGATCCACTCTCTAAACCTGGTGCAAAATGTTGTTGGCCCCACGCATCAGCAGGGGCACACTCTCGATATTGTTTTGTCTTATGGTGTATCTGTGTTAAATCTGGAAATTGGGGATGCTATCATATCCGATCACAAACCCATCTCATTTGAAATCTCTCTTGCTCGTGAGTCTAAATCCCCCACTCCACCTAGGACCTGTCGTGTATTCAACCCTTCAACCTCTGCTCGTTTTTCCTCTGCTTTTATCACCACTGCTGTTTCAACTCCTGATACCTCTGCCTGTGTCAGTACTCATGAGCTGCTTAGTCACCACAATGAGACCTGCACCAAGATCTTGGATCTGGTGGCCCCACTGAAAGTCAGGAAAGCAAGGAGAACCCAGTACCCGTGGATAAACGAGACCACCAGGGCAGCGAGACGACTGTGCAGGAGAGCAGAGCGCAAATGGAAAAAGGACCAACTCCAGGTTTCTTTCATTTTGCTAAAAACCTGTTTAAAAAATTACCAAAACACCGTCAAATCAGAAAAAAACAAATACTTCTCCCAACTGATCAGTGAAAATAAAAACAACCCCCGCACCCTTTTCACAGCAGTAAATTCCATTCTTAATGGCCCTTTGTCTGAATGCATGGACGCCTCTGTGGACGTCTGTAACGACTTCACAAGATTCTTTGTTGGTAAGGTAGAGCTGATCAGATCTTCCATCCCCCGCTCCTCAGTTGACCCATCGGTTTTTGTCCCATGTTCAGCCACTTTCAGGAATTTCAATCCAATCACACTCCCATTGTTAAACAAAGTTGTTGGTCACATGAAACCCTCAGGCTCCCCTGCTGATCCAATCTCTCCCTCACTGTTCAAACAGGTTCTACCAGCGATTGGGCCCGCTGTTCTTAATATTCTTAACAGTAGCTTTGCTACAAGCGTGGTTCCACAGGCCTTTAAAAATGCAGTAGTCACTCCTTTAATCAAGAAACCTGGACTTGACCCCTCAGTGCACTCAAATTACAGACCAATCTCAAAGCTTCCCTTCCTGTCCAAAATCCTAGAAAAAATAGTCTTTACTCAGTTGAATCAATTTTTAACTGAGAACAAAATCTTTGAGGTCTTTCAGTCTGGTTTTAAGCAACTCCACAGCACAGAAACAGCTTTGGTTAGGGTTTGCAATGACATTTTAACTTCAAACGATTCTGGTCACTATGTGGTACTTGTACTCCTTGATCTTACTGCTGCTTTTGACACCGTCGACCACAGTATCCTCATCTCACGGCTCGAACACTGGGTTGGGATTACAGGAGCTGCTTTAGACTGGTTCCGTTCTTACCTCTCTGACAGGACTTTTTGTGTCAAGGTTGGTGAAAGTCTGTCCACTTCGGTCCCTCTTTCCTGCGGGGTCCCACAGGGCTCGATCCTTGGACCCCTTCTCTTCTCGCTCTATCTGCTCCCACTGGGATCCATCTTAAGAAAACATGCCATCTCATTCCATTGTTATGCCGATGACTGCCAGATCTACCTGCCACTGAAACCAGCCAGTGCTCGTTCCATCCACCCTCTCCTCAAATGTCTAGATGACATTAAGGCATGGATGACTTCAAATTTTCTCAGTTTTAACGACCAGAAAACTGAAGTCATCGTCTTTAGTCCTAGCTCAGCTGCCTCCTCAGATCCTGCAAACCTGGACTCACTTCAGCCCTATCTCAAGCACACTGTTAGAAATCTCGGGGTGGTTTTTGACTCGGATTTTAAGTTTGACAAACAGATCAGTTCAGTTCTGCAGAAAAGTTTTTTCCAACTGCGGCAGGTAGCTAAGCTCAAGCCAGTGTTATCCAGACCCAACCTTGAATCATTAGTCCATGCCTTCATCACAACCCGCCTGGACTATTGTAACTCACTTTATGCTGGGGTCAGTCAGGCATCCATTTCACGTCTCCAGCTCGTCCAAAATGCAGCTGCTCGGCTTTTAACTGGTACACGTAGGTCTGAGCACATCACACCTGTTCTGTCCTCCCTTCACTGGCTTCCTGTGCGATCCAGAATCGACTTCAAGATTCTCCTCCTGACATATAAGTGCCTAAATGGCCTCGCACCCCTCTACCTCTCCGAGCTCCTGGAACCATATGTTCCGTCTCGGGCCCTGAGATCATCGGACCAGCTTCTTTTGGTCGTTCCAAAATCACGCCTGAAGCTCCGAGGGGATCGAGCTTTTTCAGTCAGAGGTCCCAACCTGTGGAACAACTTGCCCCTCAACATCAGGCAGGCCTCCTCCCTCCTGATGTTCAAATCCCTCCTTAAAACGCACCTGTTTGCTCTGGCGTTTAATACTGTGTGAGTTAGTTTATTTTGTTCTGTGTACCTCATTTTAAATTCTGTTGTTTTTTGATTGACGTTTATTTTTACTGCTTGTTTTTCCTTAGTGTGATCATTAGTGTGTGTTATTGCTCCAGTAATTTTAATTCTGTATGATGTTTTTGTTTTGCTGCCTATGTTTTGCTACATTTCTGTTAAGCACTTTGATAACAGTTTATCTGTTTTAAATTGTGCTCTACAAATAAAGATGACTTGACTTGACTTGACTTGGTCTCTTGGACACATAAAACATCTACCTTCCTTCTCAGCATCATGTCAGTCAGCTCTCTACCTTTGCCTGTCATTGTCCCCACATTTAGAGCTGCAACCTTCAGTCCTACACACAGAGGAGCCAGTTTAGGTGGTTCAGGCATGTCCGAATGGGAGGAAACCCCAAGGTGTTCCCAGGCCAACGGAGAGACAACGGAGAGATGTAGTCTCTCCGTTGTCTCTCCGTTGGCCTGGGAACACCTTGGGGTCCTCCAAGAAGAGGTGGACGAGGCTGTGGAGAGAGATGTCTGAATCTCCCTGCTCAAGATGCTGCCCCCGAGACCTGAGTCCAGAACATGAGGAAGATGACGGATGGATGGATGGATGGATGGATGGATGGATGGATGGATGGATGGATGGATGATGGATGGATGGATGGATGATGGAAGTCAAATTTAGAAGTGAAACCTCAAAGCAGGTGTGATTTTTATTTAATTATTTCTGAATTAAACTGTGTAATTGTTTTTGAAGAAACGAAACGTGTACAGTTGCTCGTCTTGTTCCTCACGTGCATGTTTGCTCTTCAGCAGTTCAGTTTCCCTGTGGAGGACAAGGACACTTCCTGTACAAACACTGGAGCAGTGAGCTTCCTGCCAGTCATCTGCTGGACATATGCCAGCAGTCAGAGGAGCAACTTATAACAAGTTTTATTGATTGAGTTTTTGACAAAAGCTTGGAGGTGTTTAGCTATAATTGTTGGGGCACGTGCACACCTATTGGCCAACAGTTTCCATTTCCAGTAATGAAGACGGTTGAAACTTTCACTTTCTGTTGAGACGACGGTATAAATGTAGCTGCAGCTCCCATCAGAGGCAACTTCGCCTGAAGCAGCAAAGACCATGACCTCCAACGCTGCAGCTCTGCTCCTGCTGGCTCTCATCTGCTTCCAGTTTGCAGCAGGTAGGACAGTTTACACATTGAAGATGTCTTCAGTAGCAGAAGTCTACAAACAACTTGGTCCTTTTTCCTCCTGCAGCCCAGGTCCCGGTGGACTGCTGTCTGAGTGTTTCTGAAAAACGTTTGCCCTACAAGAACCTGCTGAGCTACACTATCCAGGAGGCTGGGAAGGGCTGCGACATCAGCGCTACGGTGTACGCAAAATTAACCTTCCACTGAAACAGACTAGAGTGTGTTGAATCTGATTCCCTGATCTCCATCTGCTTTTCAGGTTCCTCAACAGGCACCAAATGAAGCTGTGCGTCGCCCACCCTGATGACAATCAGTGGGTGCGATGGCTCATTAAGGTTTTGGACAAGAAGAAAGATGCACACTCTTAGAAAAGAAGGTAATTTTGTTGATTGCTCTGTTTCCTGCGTGCACAGATTCCCTCACTGTCCTTGTGTTTGTGCAGGTGCTGAGAAGCTCCCAGGAGGCTGAAGGAGGTTTCATTTATGTCCAAGGTCTCGGGTGTTCTGTGAGGTTCAAGAGAAATCTCTGCTGCATCTTGTTCACGACATTCTTTTTGTTGTTTTTTTCTGGAAACTTTAGCTCTGCGTGTTTTTTATCGTTCACAGTGATGTCAAATGTTTTGGAGGGAAATGTTTCGTTTGCCCTTTTTTGTAGATCTGTAGAAGAAATGTAAAGAATTGAATTCAGTTTCAGTTCAGTTTATTTATACAGCAACAAATCACAACAACAACTTGCCCCAGGACACTTTACAGGAACATTCACGTAGAAAAGACAATTAGTAAAGTTCTCTATCTGACGAAAACAAAAGAATGAAACAGACAGCTGCCTCGACTTGCCCAGAGTGAAGCTAAAACAGATGTTTTCATTCTCAGATACTGTAAGCTGCTTGTTTTTAACCTGAGAAAATGTGATTTTATATATTTATAAAATAAACTTTTATAATGTTTTTATACACCTTTGTTGCTGCCTTTCTTTGGTCGATTCAAAATGTTGAAACACATTCTACTAAAATCTCTGCATTACTGAGATTTTTTTAAGGATAAACTTCATATTCTCTGCGTTGGGTATTTTCCAGATGTGAACCAGCAGATGTAATTAGAATAAAGACAAAAAATAGACTGCAAATAATGTAACAATATTTCAACCTTTAAATAAACAAATTAAAATTTGCATGGACAATGAATAAAGTTCAAACAAATAATAAAAAAAGAAAACTACTTAAGTGCATTTTCTGTCCAAACACTGAAAGTTCTAAATGACGGACTTTCTAATGTTTTATAAAAAAAAAAAATTGAAGGGATTTCTGTATTTTTTATTCAAAAAGCATTCAATACAAAAATTCTTTATTTTGTACACAGTTGTAAACATTTTATACACACTGTACAGTAGGGGTTGAACAAGTATATAATTTTTAAACTCGACATTAACATAATAAAACCCGAGTAGAACTCGAGTATTTGATGACATCATAGATCTCAAGACACAAAAATAAATAAATAAATAAAACCGCAAAAGAAGGTTTTTATTTACAAAAAAAAAAGACCAACAAAACATTGGGAGCGTATATTATGTTCCTACCATTTATCAAACTGCAAATAAGACACAGGAAAAACTAAACTATTAGTTTTTATTATTAAACTGCAAATGTGAAGAAACGTGCAGCACGTCAAAAATGAAACTTAAACCGAAACTGGTTCTGGTTCGGTGGATTGGACCCGGTGTTACACCATACTCTGTGACCTGCAACAGTGCAACACTGCCCCCTACGGTCATACGGTGGTCACATAATATGACGTCACTACGGATACTCAATGTTACATTTTTAACCTCGATAGTGGTCCTAGCAATCGATGTGTAGATTACTCGAGTACTCTGTTAATGCCCTAGTAGAGACTGGACTATTGCAATGGTTTATTATCTGGGTGTCCAAATATTCTTTAAAACGTCTTCAGTTGATCCAAAATGCTGCTGCCAGAGTCTTAACTGGAGTTACTGGGAGAGATCATATCTCTCCAGTTTTAGCTTCTCTCCATTGGCTCCCTGTCAAATCCAGAATAGAATTCAAAATCTTACTTCTAACCTACGAAGCTCTCAACAACCTAGCTCCATCTTATATTACAGATCTTATTGTTCCATATTTTACTAACAGAGCACTTCACTCTCAGACTGCAGGTTTACTTGTGGTTCCTAGAGTTTACAAAAACAGAATGGGAGGAAGATCTTTCAGTTCTCAGGCTCCTCTCTTGTTGAACCAACTTCCAGTTTCTGTCCATGACGCTGACACATTGTCCAGTTTTAAGACTTTCTTTTTTGCTAAATCCTATAGTTAGAGTCTCTTAGGAACAGTTCTCAGCTACCAACATGGTAAAACTCAGCTGAAAAGCTCTAAAAATAGCAGCATTATCTCAGTTTTTCTATAAAACAGCTGAATAATAGCTAAAGAAATCTAGAAAGAAGCTTTAATTTCCAAAAGGACGTGGAGGGAGTTTAATTGTGCCCACTAAGGCTCAAGTAGGCATAAATTAGAACAATAAAGTTGAAATTATCTGAGAAAAGCTGAAATTTGCTCAGAACAGCTGAATAGTAGCTAAAACAAGCAGAAAGAAGCTTAAGTTACTAGAAGGAAGTCGGGGGATAAGGTTTGTGCTGAATTAGGCTGAAAAAAGTTTAAATTATTGCAAAAAAATGTGGAATTAGCTGATAAAGATTCAATTAGCATAAAGCAGCTAAATGCTAGCTGAAATAGGAGAAAAAGCTAAAACTTGCAGAAATAAGCTGCAAGGAGCAAACAAGCTAAAATGAGCATAAATAAGTTTGAAGAAGCACAAAAATGTTCAAGTTAGATGAATCAGGCTGAAAGGGGCACAAAACAGCTGAAACAACAGTTGAAATTAGCTGAACTAGCTAAATTTTGTTTAAAAATTTTGTACAATTAAGCTAAAAGAAGCTTAATCTGGTCTAAATGTGAAAGTATTATTACAAGGTTCTAAACAGATCAAAAGTTATTAAGGCTGTAAAATAAGCTCCATTCATTTTCAATGAGAGCAAAAAAAGCAGAAAAGTCTAAATTTCTTGAGAATCTAAAGTTGCACCAACACCAAAAGTCATAGACGTCCTCCAACAGCTGAACGGTTTCATATATGAATTGTTGAAATAGCAGAAAAACTGTGGAAGTAGTTAGCCGCGTTGCAGGCCTTGAAGTCAGCAGGTTCTCTCTGTACTGCCTCTTGGCTCGTCTTATTCTTTCCATGGTCCATATCATAGATGGACTGTACTTATATATACCACCTTTCTGTCTAATCAAGATACTCAGTACTTTTCAGGTCTGTCTTGTAAATAATTCCCCGAGGCTCAATGGGTTTAACATGTATAAATAAAGGTTGAATGAATGTTTTACAACACAATCTGTGTCCTCATTTACCCATTCATACAGCACTCTACTATATCTACAAATCCTTCTATAGTGATTTTATATCACAGTCATGAACCAATAGGACACACAGTGTCTTGACAGGGACACTTGAACATGTGGCTGGATAGTTGTGGAATCAAACCCCAAGTCTCCAGTTGGAGGACGACTGCTCTGACCACTCAGCCACAGCTGCCCCATTACACTGTTCTTACTCACTTTCCTTGCCTGAGACGGAGCCTTCAGCCTGTGGAGTCCCTGGGTGTTAAATCAGGGCTGCAGGTGGGCACGATGTTGTGACACGTGCAGATGTACTCCGTCACAGACGACTCCTCCAAACTGGATGAAGCTCTGCACACCTCTCAGTCTGACGGTGTGTTAGCATCTCTTTTACTTCTTGTAACTTTTCACTTGTGTATTTTAAAACAATCACAACTTGTTTTGTTGCTCTAATGTTCATGTTGAAGTTCTCTGTATTCACAGTTACATTTTTATTTCTGCACAATGACGAGCTGTCATGAGGCCTAACATTTCTGGAAACATAAATGTCATTGTCTGTAAACAGGAAGCTCCCTTGACCTTCTGAAAATAAAAGCCTCCCTGAGCTCTCATCTTCAACTTGACCTTTGGTCCAAAGATTGATGGCTCCTTCCAGCATCCTGTGTGGTTTCATGCGACACAAACAGCTGTGTGAAGTGACACGTCCAAGTTGAACCCACAGCTCCCCTCAACTTTCACGTACAACTTTTTTCACTCAGGACAGATGTAGTGAACTAGACCTCCGACAACAATCTGTCTCTGAAGACCTTCAGGGGACAGGAACTGTTATTTCATTGATTTGAATCCAAAAATACAAATTATCTCATCAAGAGACTATTTAATTGTATCCTGAATTAATCAGTTGAAAGAACACTCTTCTTTTTACGTTATCAGTACTATTTTAAGATATCTTGATAATCAAAGTGTGTTTAGTTCATACATTTCTAAATGTTGAAGTGAACCACTCATTTAAATCAACTGTGAATCAGTATTAATGAATTTTAAACCTCATTAGACTTTGATCATACAAGTTAAATGTCTATTTACAAAGTAAGTGTGCATTTAGTCTTCTGTCTGAATGAGGAGTAGTGGATGTCGGTCGAAAGTCAGAGACGAGTTATTAGAACGAAGTGTCTAGTTTTTAAAACTCGCAGACAATAAATAAGAGCAACTGGCACCTGCTTTGTCTCACCTCATCATAATGTTTCTCCGTCTGTACTAACCGTTCTTAAACATTCCTGCTGTCTCCTGACTTCTAGTGACCCTCTGACATCACTAGAACTACACCCCTGCTGGTTGTTTCAACCAATCAGGAAGTACCACATAACAGGAAGTGGATACCCCTTTAAAAGGAACACTTCTTGGAACTATTCAGACAGTCCTGGAACTCAGTCGGAGTCTTAAGTCTTAGGGCTAAGTCTTCAGTCTTAGTCTTCATCGTCTGTTGGAGTCTTCGCAGTCTTTTCCAGTCTTTCTGGAACTTTCAGTCGGAGATGAGACTCAACTAAGTAGCGGATGGATTTGACCATGTGCCAAGGGTCTCTCCAGTCCAGCGTAGTCACAGCCTGCCTCGGCTGTGACTCAACCCGAGCATTAAAAGCTCAATTCCTAAGGAAGCTCATTCAGTTGAACCGAGTACTTCGTCACGATTTCTGATGACCCCCAGCCACTCTAACTGGAGACGCTGAAAAGGGAGCGTACCAATGGACTTCTGTTCCGGAGTGGAGGTATCCACCATCTCAGGTAACAAAGTCGCTGCACGTCCTGAAGTGTACCGGAGGGCTGAGCTGGATGTCGGAGGAAGGGTGCCATGTGCTGGTTCAACACATAACTTTCAACCTTAAATCTAAACTTCCTCCTTAAATCTATTCCTCCTCTCTTAAACTTTTCTATTCACCAGTAAATCAAGCTAGATGCCTT